GCCCGACAAATGCGACACCGGTCTCTAGCTAGAGAACTCTCTGGAACCATTAAAGAGATCTTGGGGACTGCTCAGTCTGTGGGCTGCAATGTTGATGGCCGCCACCCCCATGACATCATAGATGACATCAATAGTGGCGCGGTGGAATGCCCCACTAGTTAAGAAGCAAAAAGGAAATATATTTCAATAAAAGGCCATTTGACAACTAGAAAAAAAAAAAAAAAGAAAGGCACCAGGGCTTACCTTCGCCTGATTCCAAGAGGCATCAGGAGATGTGACTCACCTGAATGCTGATGGAGCATCCTCCACTGTAAACCTGTTTGGAGCATCAGGGGACGATAGCTTTGTCTCTGCTTTGGGGAGATTACAGAGCAGATGGTGTTTCACAGGCTTCTTCCTCCTGTTGGTGGAAGTGGGCATTTGGGTTAACTGACATTAGGCCCTTCTCAGGTCACCTTTGCCTCCTGGTGGCAGAGTGGCTGCCTGTAACTCCACGCATCTCCTAGCCAGGTGGAGACCCCAGAGGAAGCAGGAGAGTTGCCTGCACGGCTCCAGCCAAGACCTAGAATGGATTCTTTGGGGTTTGGCTTTTGGCGACAACCTCATCCCCAAACAAGCCACTGTGTCCAGGGAGGGCCGTCACCAGCAACTTGCCCTGACATCTGAGCCTGGCTGACCACACGGTGCTGTCAGAGGAAGGGGGTTGGGTGCTGAGCAGCAGATCTCGTGGGTGTCCATTATGAAGGACAAGATTGAGCAGACACCAGCCCCTTCGGGAGATGCAGGCCAAGCCGGCAGCCCGGGAGGTAGTGACTGAGGCCACTGGAGAGTGGAAGAGAGTGCAGGTAGGGGAAAGTGGCATCACCCAGGAGGCCCAGGGAGCAGCAGGAAGCACAGGTGTGTTGGGCACGGGCTCTGGCTCTGGTTTGGGTCTCTGCTGTGCCGCTTGCCTTTGGGACATTGCTGAACTCCACAGAGCCCAGTTCCTCATCCATAAGCTGGTGCTGGCAGTGGCAAATCACAAGGCCCTAGGGATGGGAACAGCATGGCGACCGACACCTGGCAGAGACTCAAGCATCGGCCATCCTTATTACTGCAGCACAGAGGCCAGAGTGTGACTGTTGTCCTCTCTACCCAGGGCATGTGATGTGGGTACCACGTGCCTGCAGCATTCTGCTCCCCATCCAATTGCGCTGGCTTGACAGCATCCACCTAGCCCACCCAGTAACGTGCTCCATGTCCTCTTCCCAGAGGCGAGAAGTACGGCTTAGTCACCTTTCGGTGCCCCGAGCATGCAGCCCTGTCGCTGAGAAATGGCGCAGCCTTGCGGCGGCGCGGTGAACCCTCCTTCCAGCTCAGCTGTGAGGGTCTCCGGCACTTCTGCTGGCCCAGATACACTGACTACGGTAAGACCCCAGGGCCTGGCGCAGTCCAGTAGACCCAGAGCATGAGGGGCCATGTCCTTGGGTGAAGCCCTGGGTCTCCTATGCACACAGCTCTTGCCCACGTTCCGTGTGCTGCAACTCAGTGTCCCTTTCCGGGAGGCCATCTTTTTGTTTTTCTTTGATCTCTGGCTCATCTTGTCCTGTCCTGTGACTGTATCCAAGAGAGCCAGGCCTCCTTCGGGCTCTAGGAAGGCCGATCTTGCATGGCGCCTGCCTCTGACCTCACAAGGGCAGTCCACAGTAGCCGGGACGAGGCAGCAGCTTTGCTGTGCATGCACGACAGTGAAACAGCACTGTTTGCGTGGCCTTACACGTGGGGCAAGATGGTGAAGGGCAGAGGAGTGCAACATGAGAAAGGTTGTTTGCTGCAGAGCCCAGCGCAGCCTTCGTAGTGCTGGGGTAGGGCCTTCGGCGGGTCCAAGGCAGACGGGCTCTCCACCTGGCTACAAGTACGTTCATGGGACTGAGTGTCGCCGCCTATACAGAAATCCCAGGCCTGTTAACCGTCCCCAGTGACCCTGCGTTTGGTGACTAATGGGTGGGAGGCCATGAGGGGTGGTAGAATGGTGGGGTGTGGGGCTGGGAAGGCTCTGGTGCTCTGGGTCGGGCCCCTAGCTCTCCAGACAGGGTAGCCATGACCTTGCAATGCTGGGATGTGGCCGACGTGTCACAGCACGACAGCGGTGGACACTCACAGTGTACTGCCTGTCTCTGTCTCTGAGGCCTCAAGGTGCAGCCACCCCACACGCTGACCCTTGATGGCCTGACCTGTCTGAGTTGCTCGCCACCTCTTCCCCTGCCCACTGCCCTCCGCCGCTGCCATACCCCATTTCCCCCATTGCCTTCTCCCACCTCCCCCTTCCCTGCTTCTCCCCCACTGGCTCCCCGTCACCCCC